TTTTGATTAAATATATTTCGTTCACTATAGTTTAGTAATGTCATGCATTTGATTTGTTAGTAAAATAGCATGTGTTGCTCTAGTTACACTGTATGACGATTATCAATGACAGCATACACGTTAGAAATACACGTTATTAACCCATGTGGTATGTTAAACTGCAGGGTTGGCAATGAGAGAACCGTGTCATTGAGAATGATGTTACATCATCAACAACAGAAAATGACGTCACAAAGGCGATCAGCTACTCAATGATATTCCTCTATTTTCGAAAATTATATCTTAGACCGTAAATTAAGTAATCTACATCACGTCAACAATAGAAAATGACGTCACAATAATATACAATATAGTTACCGCATTGTTCCGTACTTTTGTATCATGGCACATCGCTTTGTAGACGACACACCAATAACAGAAAATGACGTCACCATCACGCTCGTTCTGCATCACATGAACGACCATGAACCCCTTATAAAATCAGACATTGAAATTCATCCTTCTACAGGTTAAGTACGCGTTAGTTGCCTCATTATTTTTTAAAAATACATATGACAGCTTCATGGATTCAACAAGAAAGCTGCATATAAATATCATTTATCATGCAATTTACAAAAAATCCAAATCAATCATTCATTCTTCGTTCAAATAATCTCAATTCAACCACAATATTAGGACCTAAAATGCTACAATGGAAAACACAATGCCAGTTGAGCTTGGTACAAATGACAATAAAATATTTGTGTAATTATCGGAGCGTGTAATATGACAGATTTCACGCCTTCCATCGACACTTTACTCGTTCAGTGTCCGCGTATCAGATATTAAATCAAGCAGAAATGCTTGGTTTATGGACTCGGTCCGAAGTCTTCTACAGGACCCAAGTTATTGTCCACCGAACCTTGTATCGGACGGTGTAAAAAGGGACTTCGTTCGTCCCTTGGTGACTGGCTCAATTTCACTCGTCGGTGAAACGGCTTCACTAAAAGCAAACATTCATTAAAAGTGACCCTCTGACTAGCATCTGCTAACTAATTGGATTAAAAAGTTTGGTTGATTAACTTTTTAAGAAATAATTTGTCATGATAATGGCTATGATCTTATTCTGTTTGAAAAAGAGGCGTTATCAAGATGGCCAATTTCGAGGTTCACAAGTGGGTCCCAAACCAGGAGATATCATCACACAGAGTCGTAGAAGCAGCATATGGCCCTCTCGCTACTGGTCACTAGTTTCAAGTGGTCTCATTATCACAAACTTGACCACCAAACGTTGAACGGAAATCCGTTGACCGGTACACGATGTTTTTAAACAGCACAGCAGCTCGACTATTTCGATAAAATCCTTGAATGGTTTTTATCGCGCGCGTCTACGGAGCAATTTGGTCTTTGAATCCATAACTCTTGTTTATAAAACAATCTTTGGAAAAAATTGGATATCTAAAGTCAAAACCGTTTCTCAATAGCCCCTTTCAAATTTGTTTAACTAACCAATGATAAAGTTTTAGTTAGTCTTTCGAAAAGAGCTTGCACGTGAATTGATCCCGTTGGACATTGCTAGTTTCCAAAAGGGAACGATATCACATATACATAGTGACCGGAGTTTTCACAATAATTTATTATTTAAACACATTCTATTTTTCAATATAAAAAATGGATGATGCACAAGTTGTCACAACTTAGAAACGCCTTCTCCCAAAAATAACATTTCACATAGATCTTACATATCTACAGTAGTTTACTCTTTCATCAGATTTGATTTGTTACACGTATATATTTAAGAAGAGAAGAAATGAAAGTAGAACATTTGGGTATGAAGAAATAAATATTAATATAAAGATTATTTTTTTATTATAATGCTATGAGATTGTATTTATCGGTATCTAGAGGTAGATAAGTTCACTCATTTTATGTTTTAACAATATGCGTGGCGGGTTATAGGAAAAACATGTGTCGTTCAATTGTTATAAAAAAAACCGTTCAAATTATATAAAATATTGTCAATTATTGTCAAGATACATGTATAGGACAAACTAATCGGCAACTGAAGACAATTTACCAAATCAACGGGACAGAAAAAAACAGGACATTCTCTTGGAGACTCAATAGCACCAGGATAGGTATCGATCTGGGCCTGTATTCACGAAATCGTTCTCATGCTCAAGCATGAATTTTGTGCTCAAGCCTTATGTCTTTTTTAAGTTAAAAATTGATAAACAAGGCTGATTTTGCCAAAGATTTACAAACAATTCTGGGAGGACTTCAAGTCAAAGTTATATTCAATGTTTATATTTGACATTTGTATTATTTTAGATGATTTAGGTGAATTATATAAAAAAAGATTTACTTGAGCATGAGAATGTTTTCATGGATATGGGCCCTGGTGTCATTTAGACCGTGACAGGAAGTATGCGTTCAAGGAAGTGGTCCCTAGTCCGCATGCGGCTTCGCGCGAGCCGGATCCTGGGAAACACTGGCTATCTTATACGATCCAGCATAACTGTAGATGTCTATTGCTATGAGAGTTACCGATATGTCATCTTTGAAAAGTTGATAACTTAGTTTAATTTGAACATCGATGGTAGACATTCCCGTAGTCAGGATTTTAAACTTATATTGATTTGGATGAAACCAGGACGTAAAATACACAGGATCATCACTACACAAGAAAACGTATGATCGATCGCCTCCCCGACGTACACATAACAAACGAAAACCTTTGCCTAATATTGCTATCATAAATTATATGGAATCAAAACCAAATACAAATCCGTAAATCACACACAAAATTTCGATTATTAATGTCATTGATGAATGAAAAATCACATCGTATGTATATTAGTAATCTGATAACTGCGAAATAAGAAGACATTTGATATCCAGTCGGTTTGTGTACAAATGTATAAAATTTATAATTAATCTACAGTAGACGTCAGTTGTGTTTGTTCTGAAATATGACGAGATGTCGCCGACAAGAAAATTATTTTGTTACACGCGTTTACAACTTTTAAATGTTATTATGCTCAGAAATAACATTAAATTTGTATAATTCATGTTTATGGTGTCCTAAAACATCATCAATGCATTCTGTTCAAACAAAAGAGCGCACTTCATATTATGGGTTTTCAGATCATTAATGAAGCTGTTCCCCTATTTATTGCTGAATAAAATATTGCTTTTTTAACTCATCAATATTTTGTCGCGTGACTAGATGTCACCGCCATCTCGCCTAACAATTAAAACTTCAACCGAGCGTCCTGTCCAGTTACACAACATATAAATAATTAAATTTCAATTAATTCATAATCAAGCTTGATTTTAACTTGTTTAAATGGTATTATATATGTAATACTATAATTTACATGTTATCTAATTGCTACCTTGCCTCAATAACATTTTTGGGTATTTTATAAAAACTGTAATGAGAAACAGTGTAATAGTACTTTGTCGTCTTGTGAAACGAAAACCACCACAGTTACCTCCCTTAATTTACAAATTTAGCGTAATAGCAGTTACCTCCCCTAGTACACATATATTTACCTGGGTCTGGAAATGGTTTATTTACATCTATATGAAATCATAATAATATAGTCTCTTGAAAGGCTGTGCCCCCTACCTAACCCCTCTATCTCGAAGTCCTGTTTCATATATTAATTCTGGCATATACAGCAAGGACATGTCAAATACTGTATTCGTTACATTTCCCTGCAGACAGAGACCTACATGTTGACACATATCATAATTTCCACTGGCTATACTGTTGAGAATTTAGTCAAAGCACACTTTGGTTTCTTAAACTGTACATGAAATCCATGTCTTACATACCATTGTGGACTGCGTTATACCATCTGATACTAATTTCAAACATGTTCATGACTATGTACATATAGTTGACTATTCTATGTACCTTCCACAATTATAATACAGGTCTGCTGTGCCTCTTCTTGAGTATGAGACAGTTCACGATTGGTCAAATTTTAAAAAAAAGATATATAAAACCATGTTTAAAATCTCTGAATCCAGGAATATTTATTATTGCACCGATCGGCTTCAACATTCTTGATTGCTGTCCTAATAGAATTCAGTCTATCATAACCGTGGACATTTTTTTTATACTTTTATACTTCAATTCATGGAAGCAACTAAGATATTTTTTCATTTAAGCTCCTTATTTCTTAATTACATTTGAAGGGAATTGGGGTAGGGTTATATAATTTCCCATAGCTTATGATTATTTTAATGTTGTTTTTAAATTTGGAGAATCTAGCAAATCAATGAAAAAAATGTGTACACATCTGAATATATTTCATTATTAGTTATATTACTTGTGTAAAATTCCAGACTGCTGTAAAGTGCAGAAGTAGATGATATATCATGCTAATTTTATTCAAATATCAATTGATTCCTTATCAATCTGCAAATCAAATAACTTCTTTGTTTAAATTTTTATATAATTTAGAAGCAATTTCCTCAATCCCTACCAACACCCTGCTGTCTCTTCAAATGTTAACTGTCCAAACACAAACAGACTTTACTGGTGGTTGCTTTGCTGCAAGTTTATACTATGGTAGGCTGTGGTGAGAGGGAACTGACTTTAGATCTGGGATTTGTATTGAGTTATTTCCCTTGTTCAGACAAATTTAATTTTCATGTACAATGTACAGTGAAACCTCACCTAACGACCACCTCAAAATAACGACCACCCCGCTTTTACGGGCACCTTTTTTCATTCCAATTTTTTTTCACTATATATCTTCGTATTGGTCACTTCAGTATTACGACCACCTCGCTATTCCGTATTACAACCACTTCTTACAGTCCTAACGACCACTAATTAACGATAATTGACCTCACAATTACGACCAAGTTCTACCAGTGATTAAAGTTTACCTGTTGGGCAATGAACCGCGAGCATGTGTGTCGTTCTCGACTATTGTTTTCGTCACAGGTTACCGATCCTGTCACCAGGTGGCGTTACAAGAAGTAAACATCATTTCCCTTGTTCAGACAAATTTAATTTTCATGTACAATGTATTTGACACATTAATTAAAAACATCATGGAAAATTATGATTGAGACAATTTCATAATGAAATCAATATGAAAAGAAATATAAATGACATTGTCAAATCACCATCAGCCCCACTCCTCCAAAGGCAGAGATTTAAATACATCTGGAGGGGGAGGAAGTAACGAGGGAGGAAGGTTGGTGATGGCTGTCAGGTGTGGAGGAATGGTGTACACAGGTAAATCAAGCTCTGTGGGAGCCACCTTATCTTTTAATTTATAACGTTTTTTAACCTTCTCAAGCCATAACTCCAGAGAAGGTGGTTCTACTGTCTCTTTGTCCTTTAAAGAAATAACCGTTTTCTTAAAATCAATCTGTCGTTGCATTTCTAACTTCTCTTCATCTGTCATGTGTGAATATTTACAGCTTCCCATGAAGGAACAATTTCCTGAGGACAGGAAATGTTTACATGGACGTTTTGCAAGCTCTTCAGCTAGGATAGTCTCTGGTTCACGGTACTGATCATAATACGCCTTCCGACATCGTTGGTGGATCATACCTTTCAGATGATTCTTTCTATTGTTTGCTTTATCTGCGAAGGTCTTGTCACAGTAGTCACAATAATAATTTTTCCCCATTTTAACCACAGGCTAATGTCCTCTTCATTCCTCACCTAAAATAGAAAAAATAACAGGTTGGTTTAGAAAAAATCTTTTTATTATTCCAGTGACATTCCAATGAAGAATTTTGGGACAATCTTTTACAGAACCCTAATCCATATTTGCTTTCTAATTGTCCCCAGAGATGTCTGCTGTCCCTGTGAATGAAGGCTTCTATTATCCACTACAATAACCAGTCACTTGTGGTTAATCTTAAACATTTGGGAGTACAGAGCCTGATGCACACAAGACACTTATTTGTCCATCAAAAATGTATGATGTTTGATGCAGTTTATGTTTTATACAATCCTCAATTATAAATTAGCAAGGATTTTCCCTGGCTAATTCACCAGAGAATGTAGACCATCATTATCAAATATCTGTCTTTCAATACATCTACTGTTTAGTGTAGTTGTAGATGTATTTTTCCTAAAAGACAGCTTGATTTGACTGTATTTGGAATAATTACTGCCTCTTGTTTGGTTCATAATCTCCTTTCTCAATTTTTAATTGATACTTGGTAAGCCTTGCAGTTATAACATGAAGTTGTTTTCCTAAATGCCAGCTATTGTCCCATTTTAATCTTATCCTGATGCCTTTATTAGTTCCGCAAGCAATTTCTGAGAAAATTAGTCAGAGTATATTCATAAAGCATTATATGAAACCGTGTCTTCCTGAAACAGATATTGATTCAATAAATGCTGAAAGAGTTACTGGCCTTTGATTTTTCAGCATTTTTATCTTGCTTCCAGATCTTGATAAGTTTATGACTGAACACTTTTAATAATAATAGCAATAGTTCTTTATTCCCAGAAAAAATGTTTAAGATAAAAAAAACTTTTTATTTCCATATTTTCCAACTTTTTAACAATTCAGACAGAAATTAATATATACAATAACCTTGCACAATTCTTTTGACAATAATTTCTGTGACTATAATGAATAGTTCCTTGTGTAAATAACATTTGAGAAGAAAATGAAACAATCAATTGAGAAAGGCTACAGAAAAAAATTAACATTCATTCAAACTAATTAGTAGTGGAATACTGTTATGTAAATGCTTCATTTAAACATTGAATTAACTTTAATAAACCAAGTTTGTTAAAATTAGTGAAGGTCAAGAATACCAATAGAATGAATTAGATTAGCCATTTACTTTTCTAAAAGATTATCCTCAAAGCAACTGTTCAGTGTATGTCTGAGACAATACAATAGAATAACAACATTATACAAAATTGTTTGTGATCAGTTATATTTATAAAACATGTTATGGAAAGTTGTACTTTCATTTGTCAATGTTTTTCACTTTACCACTGATTCAAGTATATAAGAAGTTTCACATATAATTCAGTGAATTAAAATGGAAACATTTTAGTTAAGAGGTATGTGAAATATTAAGCTTAATAACATGATATAGTATAATTATGATATAACAATATATACATTCATGATATATGGCTGTAAGAGGTCAGGTCATCACAGAGATTTTAAACTTGTTTGACGTTAACGATAGGATAATTTATTGGCATGTTCAAGTTGTTCTCTATGACAATAGTCATAGGTGCCTCAATAAACAGGCAATAATAGGGGTTACTACTGATTGATTTTATGACTTGATTGACATGATATTTTTTTTGTATTTGTTTTATTTTTGTCAGAATTTTTTATACAATGCAAAGTACAATATAATTAATAATTGTAATATTCAAAAGTCTTGCATACATTTCCCTCACTTCCATTTTCATACAAACACATTCACTACAATTCTCAAATGTTTACATTGCATAGTATATCATAGGAAAAAAAGAGAAAAGGAAAGTGTGAAAGTAGAAAGAGGATAAGAAAAAGACACAAACACAAATACACACACGGGTGAGAAAAGGACACAAACAAAACAGATACACACAAAAGGGAAAAAAGATGAGACACACACACATATGCAGAGAGACAGAGACAGAGATGTCAGGAAAAGAGGGAGAGAGAGATGTCAGGAAACCATTAGTAAATACCTATATCTATGACTGGCAAAGGAAAACAGGAGTGAGTGGAGAATATGTGATGTCAGTGACAAATGTCATTTGATTGACATGATATTGATTGTCACAAGTGTCTTAAGTGTTAACATAGTTCTGCAAACCTTCAACAGCATGTGGTTGTAACAGAGAGTATTTTTGGTTACATGAAAGGATCCTTTTCACTACACAATTTTCCATAACATTCTCTATTTTCAAGTAAAAAAGATTTATGTACAGTTTCTAGTTTATCGCTTTAAAACACGTAAAAATATCTTTGAAAATATTGGCCATGCCAAGACCAGGTTCACTTTTTTTTGAAAAAAAAATTACTGAAATGTTTTTGTTTAAGCAATATTATGTTCAATATTCATCATTATTACACATGTATATGATACTTTGAGATAGGAAATATGCTTATTAATTTCTTTCCAAAATACTTTGGGTTGGAGTATACTTCCATGTTATATAAATCAACACTCCTCGATAGTTTTAAACAAGAAAATGGGAAAATATTGCGTCAATACATTCATTTAGTATCATTTTGGCTATATTCATATTTATATGTGTCCAGTTCCATTTGCATACTGAAGAGAACACTCTGTTAATTATTAGATTATTATATTATCATTTAAGTTTTAAAATGTTTGGTACAAGAAAATTTTGTTACTTGGCTCTTGATATTGACCTGTTAGAAAGGTCTCTCATCTGTATTCAGCACGCCTATGAGTACTTGTCTGATAGTTAAATTCTCTGCAATGTAATTCCTCTAAGTAAATGTATCATGCGATGTACTGTTACTTTCATGCTTTTTATTGCAACCTGAAATTTAGTGAAAATCGGGTGGGGTGGAGGGGGGGAGGAAGATTAATTTTGGTTATGATTTATACATCAAATTACTTTGATATTTGTGTTTCTAGGAAACTTATTCTTATCTGTTTCTTCTAATACTTGGTAGATCTTATTGAGGGTATTACACCTTCTTAAATTAATAATTGAATAATTAAGTAGAAATTGGTACAAGTTTACTAAATTGTTACATATCTGATCTTGTTCTGTTGAGTGGCCGACAAGTTTTATGTCTCAGTGACTCCTCCAATTGCCGGGTATCGTCTCACCGTCGATCTTGTTATTATGCTAAGTGTATAAACCATACCCATGTTTACATGTTCATCAGTTTAAGAGCTACATATTCAAAGTCTTGACACCTGTATCGACAGAATTTCAAACCTGTGAAACAATGCATTTCTCTCCAACGTGAGATAACGTATAACAAAGCCCCGCCAGCTGCACTTACTTTTGTTATCATAAGTCCCTGAAAACAGATAACTACGTAACATTATCGTGAAAAACTCACCCAAATCTAAGGTAGCGTTTCCATATCACCGGAAATTGAGTACATTACTTCCGGATTTGGCTGATGATAGCACTAATGCACTGATCACTTGTTTAGGGTACCTACTAAAGCACTGAGTTGCCACAATGCCTTAAAATAAAAATAAGAATATCATGTTTTGTGGTGTTATCGTAGGCCTATGTCGAGTTGGCGAGTGTTGAGCGGTCAGCTTTTGTTATGTTTTCATTTGCACTCTGTACTGTATATTTCAAGACTGAAAATATTAATAATAACTCTTTATTTTGTAAATGGTAACAGAGACGTATATGATGGTAACATGTTTAGTACAAGTATACTGATCTTCCAAACAGCTCTCTCAAATGATTAATCCTAAGTAGATACTAACAACCAGTCAATTACCTATTTATATCTATATAATATCTACCCCATTGATAAACATAAACAATTTCAGATAAAAAGTAACCCTTAAATCAAGTGAAAACGTAAATAACCTAGAACTTGGCTCACTTCTTACAATTATTAATAATACATCAAATTTAATAGTAAAATTTTGAAACTATATATATATATATAGAGAGAGAGAGAGAGAGAGAGAGAGAGAGAGAGAGAGAGAGAGAGAGAGAGAGAGAGAGAGAGAGAGAGAGAGAGAGAGAGAGAGAGAGAGAGAGATTACACAACGAGTGGTTGTTGGATACGAGCTTTATCCAGTTCAGCCATGTTGACAGCAGACGATAAACAAATCGCACGTGGAACAAATCACGCGAGTGAAAAAGGTAGTTCGGGTCAAAGTTCACCAATCATGTATCCGGGAGGCCATATACCACTAGTGGAATATCACTTATATTTATCCAACACCCGCCATATTTACACAATGGCATGAGAGAAGAATAAATTAAAGTAGAATGGTATATATATATATTAACAGAAAACATCCCGAGAAATTTAGTATCACTACGAGGAGAATTTTATATTTTTGAAATCTTTCTTTGACACCAAAAGGCTGTTGGAACATTTCAGTTTATTTGGAAGGTTAATCCACATAACTTCTCCAGAGTAACTAAAGGACTTTTTTTTAGGAATTTGGTAATAATAGTCTCGGTATTTGGTGTAGATCTCAAATTAAAAAGATACACATCATCACATATATTGGTACTGTGTACTGGCGCCATATTATTGACAGTCTTACAAATTAACTCGCGAGTATGATACTTAACTCTAAGCTCAAAGGGTAGAATATTACTTTGCTTAAATTTCCCCTAATTGGTGTCAAGTTTATTTGATATAACTCGAATGTTTTTGTAACCTTTTTACAAATTGAATTTGTTCTTTAGTTAGACCATTGCCCAAAAAGTAATTGTATAAACGATCATCCGGAGAATGTAGGCCTTGTAACAAGTTTCCTAGCATTGCATTGTATATACCTAACATTGTACGTAGGAATCAATGTTTATGTTCAGTTTTCATCTATATCAAAACAAGAACCGTTTTTGTTTTTTGTTGATAATCAATCCCATCTACAGCGAAGTTTATAAGAGGTTCGATTGTAAACTTCTGACGTGAGGAAATTAAACATACTGGTAGTTTTTTTGTTGATTTATTCGCAGGTTACTATTATTACACCACCTCATTACATTCTTAAGATCATTTTGTAGTTTACAATTAATATTCAACGAGTTAGCTCTATTTACATGTCAGGTTGTATCATCTGCATAGATAAAACCTTTATAAACTGCTAATTGAGAGCTGTTTATATCGAAAGAGTATATATTTTCTACTCTGATGATGTTGTACTTAAGCACAGAAAAGGGATGTGCCGATTTTATATAGATTTTCATACTTTGCCTATATAAAGCGTGTCACAGTATGTGATCGCCGCCATACTGGTAATAAAACTCTATATTTAGTTTTGGTTTGTGTCATAGCTTATTATATAACCTCTCACAATGATAGATTAGACTATAATATTTCTAGTTGGGATAAATCACACATTTGGTACGTACTTGTAGTCAATAAACGGTAGCAGATTCAAGATAAGATAAGTCAAGTATTTCTGGTTCAGGACTTGTCTTAGTCCTCTATACCAGACTCATTACAATACAGTATGAATACACAATAAAATACATAAATCCGGTACTGGACTAATTATGGATTGTTGCTTTATAATTAAAGAAAAGTTCTTGGTGTTTCCAATGATCATCTAGTCTGTTTGTAAATGAATTAACATTCCCAGCAGATACAACGTTTCCTGGTAGTTCATTCAGTCAATTATACTGTTCCTACGATAAAACGACAATGACGTTTGACCGGTCTCTGTGAATATTTAAAGAACGACTCAGAAACGAAAAAGGAAAATTACTACCAGTTCCTGAGCAACAATAGAACAAATTGGCATTAATAGGTTGCAACATGCAGTAGATCGTAGCTTCTGTAGATTTTCATTTTTGGCACTATGTTGCAGAGCGGTGACAGAATATGACTGTTGTTGGTAACTTGGTTACTCCTGTCTCCAAATATGATGATTTGGAGGCATTGATAGTATATACAGCTCTCCCCCTGCATTGGATTATGTATCATTCGTCGACTGGACGGTTACCACTGTGTCAGTAAGAGTTACTTCCCTTGCATTGATTGTAAGATATTTGGCATTGATCTTGCAACAGAGAAATTGATGCATTGATCAATTTCCTTAAGTTTCTAGGTTAATTCCCTAATCTTTGTCTAAAGTGACTCATATCTTTTTAGTTTGAATATAGGTGGATATAAACTGGTAATTCATCATCATTGTTAAATGGTAATATTAAGCTGTTAGGGTTGATAACTAATGCCTAAGATTGTTTCGATTCCCATATGGAATATGATGTTAAAAGGAATACCTTCTGAGCCAATTTACCATGTTAAAGACTTTATTAACTATAACTGTTATTCTGTAATTTCAAATTGTTATATTGTTACAAGACTAACTATTTACTATAAATACAAAATTAGGTATATCAATACTCAAGTTTAGTCTCGGCTATAATTTCTTTGTGGTTTTAATCCTTGACCCTACCAATAAGACAGGTTATTAACTAAACAGTTATATCTTGGTACATCTTTTTATGATGATACAGAGAGTGTGTGACATTTTGTGCTTGTGTATCTGAGAACACTAGAATTATATGGATTGCATTTGATTAGCGGCATTGAGCTTTCCTTCAACCTAAATGTATAATAAGATAATCAGTGATCGAACTGAAGACAACATAGACTTGAGTGGGGAACCCTCAAGTTGAGACAGGCAGCGAGTTTTGTTTCATTATCATAATTCATTTATTACCACAGGCAACTCTGATAGATATATCAAAACACAAATTTAATATGTACAGGAATTTTTTTTTGCAAGTTTTTTTAACCCAGGTAACTACAGCAAAATATGATTCTATGCCTTTCAGTAAATCTGAATAATTTGTTTAAAGGTTTAAATGAAATAACCCAGGTGACCTTAAATATGGATCAATGTCATTGTTTTGGTCAAGTTTCATCCCAAGAACAATTCAGGAAAATTTCCTAGCCCTAGGCCTCCATGTTAGTCAGAGAAAGTCATTTCAATGTAGTTACAAATTCGATTTCATTTTGCAAAATTTGGTGTACTTTATCCCTGGAGTATTTCATCCAAATATGAATATAGGCCTTTTAGTAAAACAGAACTTATTTGGAAGTTTGGACAAATTTGAACTTTAACTTTTAATATATAGATAAAAGCACAGACTATTCAATGTCCATGATCAAAGTTAAAACTTTGTAGCACATTTTGTGTGGCTTTTCCCTAGATACCTACAGACCAAATATCTAGATTATTGGACTTTTTATGTATCATCAGTTGATGTTTTTAATGTTTTGATAAATTTGACCCTTGTTAGATCTTCAATACCGGTCAAGGTCATTTTGTTTCATAAAATTAAGATTTATCCCTAGAACTAACAGCCAAATATCGTAACTATTAGCCTCTTAGTTAATGCGAAGGGAATCTTCATTTGGGCCCCAGCTAATTACAGTACTCATTAAAACAGTTATAACCTCATTAGATGTGCTATGCCACAAAACTGTGATTAAATTGTGTAAGATCAAAGATGAAAATTACTTTTTTTTATTTTAGATATTTCACCATAACACAAGTGTATATACCCAAATTAATCCCCTGGGAGCATGATTAACAATTTAATTAACTGTACTAGGCTAGGATTATAATATGTAGAACCAGGTCTGGATTTTTTTTTCATTATAATTTTTGTTTTATTTTTCTGAAGTCATGTTTGCATCTAATCAACTGACAAAATGCCAGTCAGCTGTCATTCTGTCTAATTCTATATCTAATTTTAATTCACCTTTCTGTCTAACAGTACAATTTTCTGGTTTTCCCCCAAGTACATATATAACATGTACTGTGACTTAGTTTTTGTGTTCACTGATAACAGTACTGTGTACATTTTCAGTAAATGTCACTTTTTGAATTTGGATTATTTTGTTTGCAATCCCATGACCAGGTAAGATAAATCAGGGTTTTCCATAAGAGCTGGTCGCCGGCCAATTTGACCGGCTACTTTGATCATTTGGCCGCCTACACCAATCCAGTTCCGTAATAATGTTCTGTACACGACTACACGTACACGGCAGGACAGCCTCCTACTTTCACTACACAACCTACTACTGACAAAATTATGGAAAACCATGATAAATAATTATCATCTAAGGCTAAATTTCCATATTTGGATAGATTAATTTGGGCCTTGTCTTATCTAATTCCAATTCCCAATGGCTTTTCCTATTTCATATAATAGTTAAAGAGCAGACCTACAATGAATATACTTTGTCAAAAGGCTGACACATATATATCCATTATATTGTATGAGGAAATACAATAATTATATTTAAATTATCCAACAACAATGTGCAATTTTATGTTTTAATATATTTGCAAACATTTTATACAATGTACATGTATCTAATAAAACATCACAACACATCATCAATTCACATTATTTAATATTCCAACTCGCTATCACCATAGTGGAAGTGTTAATTAATACAAAAAACCATCCACTCACGTGTCTAATGATTATTTCAAGTTGAACATGGCCTTGAACTATGCTCTTTGACACACACTTTACTGTAGTTCCCCAAAAGATGGATGCATGTAGAGTTAACAATGGTCAAATGTTCCAAGTATTTCCAGTTTACATCCCTAAGTAAACCGTAATGTTGGCTAACACCAGATAAGCCTCTACAGGAATTTGTTTCTAAAGAAAATATAAAGTGTTTTCATGATCTCTGTGACAGATACATCTATATTATCTTTAGATTAAACTTTGAATGGGAAATTAAGGTCCCTATGTTTGAACTGTTGAAAAATAAATTTTTCTTAGTATATCATTTCACTACTTTCACAACATCGATCTGTCCCAAGGAACATCCAAATCTAAATTTTCTTTTTTTTCCCATCAACTGCCGTTTTTATACAAAACATGTTCATGAATATTGGTAACTTCAACTGCATCTCCTACCTTCAACTTTGGTAACTTTTGTATTTGGGAAGGAAAAATTTGTTCTGTTACTTCAAACAATCACGGATTCTTGTAAAAGCCTTTCATGCTAACAGTCAAGCACATCAAAGAAATGTATATAAATTTTATCACCGACATACATATCTTCTGGCTAGGAAATATCCAGGCTTCTAAAAACGTGGGCGAGCCCCAAAATGGTATATAGAATTTCCCAAAATTCTCCAAGTTATCAACAGTGTTTAAAAAAAATATGTCTATTATAATAACCTGTTTATCTGTGATTGAATTTCAGTTAAAGTGTTTCAAAGTCCAATATCCTAGTCTAAATCTAACTCTTTCTTGATTCTTTTTATTTCTTTTGCGACTTTATCAGCTGCTAAAATCACCTCTGCGCAGTCACTGCCGTGCACAAGAAAATAACCAACTCTAAATTTATGAACCTGTATTTCAACCTCATGTCCAATTTCTGACATTAATCTTTTGATGTTTTCTCCTTTTGTGCCTAGAAAGGCACCAGTAATCTTTTGATGAAAATCATAATCTTCATCTGTGTACACTCTCTCTGTGATTCTGGTATTGAAAGCGTGCTTTATATTTTTCACCTCCTGTTTCACTCTCTCTACTGCCAAGTTAACCATTTCATCATCTGTCCCGGACACCAGCACATGACCTTTTTCTGTTACATCAAGTTCAAAAATGAGACCAGACTCTAATATCAGTCTTTTGATATTCTTTCCTTTGGTGCCAATTAGCTTTCTACAAATCCTGTTATGAAAAGAATCATTGGTATCTGTTGGTACCTTTTTTATGATGGGTGTCTGTAGAAAAAGAAGTATTCTGTCAACCTCCTGTGTCACTTTTTCAGCTACATTTCCTAAATCTTCAGCATCAGTTACAACAACATACAAAGCATTTTCACCTTTCCTTGTATAAATATCAAATTGAGTTCCAGTCTCCAATCGCAATCTTTCAATGTTCACACCACTTTTGCCAATGATATTCGCAAATATCTTCTGACATTCCTCATCATTCCCAGGAGTGATAACCTTTTTTGAGACAGAGCTCAAAATAAATCTCCTTACTGTTTCCACCTCCTCCGTTAATGTCTCAACTGTCTGTTTTACAACTTCATCATTAACTCCAGAGATGGTTAGAAAATGCTCTCCTCGCTCTGGGTCATATTTTTGACCAAAATTAACCTCAGAATCTAATTCCAAAGTCTTAAGGTTTTGTCCATTCCTGCCAATAATTGTTGAAAATATGCTCTGGTGAACATCAGCATCCTTGTCTGTAAATATCTGTTTTGTCACCGCAGTTTGCCTCCGTACATGCTTTCTGATTTTGTCCACTTCCTCTCTTACTTTTTCAACTACATCCTTCAACATCTCACCATCAGTCCCACTGACAACGAACTGGTTACCTCTGTGGGAATATATTTCAAATTTATTTCCAGTTTCCTTCAGCAATCTTTTGATGTTTTCTCCGTCTTTCCCAATGAAAATTCTACAAATGTCTGCATGGACAGAATTATCTGGATCTGTAGGCACATTTTCACTAAAACGTCCAATCACTTCAGTTCTTATTCTATCTACTTCCTCCTTTACTTTTTCCACAGCGATCTTTATCACTGCTTCACTCCCTGATACAGTTATGTATCCATGTTCCTTGGTGTCAACGTGGAAATCAATACCAGTCTTTCTAAAGAACTTGTCGAATGTTTGTCCTCCTTTGCCAATAAACAATTTACATATGCTGTTATGAATATCAGCATCATCATCTGTGAAGACTTTTTCAAACAGAACTTCTGTTTGAAGAGATTCGCGTATCCTTGCAATTTCGTTTTTTATTTCTCCCACTGCAATATTCACTTCTTCGGCATTTGTCCCACTTACCAGTAAATGGTCACTTACTTTGTTGGCGGTAACTGTAAAATTAAGTTTAGTTTTTGATTTCAGTTTTTTTATCCGTTTCCCTCTCGAGCCGATAATTTGCTGACATACTTTGTAATGGACTTGTAAATCCTCATCAGTCCACACCTTCATGGTAACAGGGTAGCCATTTTGTCGTTTGTCGCTTGGATAATAACTAATTTGTCTTGATACACCATATGGAAATCCCTGATGTTTTAATATGCATGGTACATTTTTAGCGATATTTGAACATGTTATCTGACACCGAGAGGAAATCAGTTCATAACTGCATGATCGCATGTGTCTCAGAATGTAGGCTGCCATAGCTAGATCCCGGATAAAAAATGTCACTAGTAACAAGATAATCATGCCCGGAGTGAATTATATATTTATAGAATCTAGTAAGCAATATAGACGGTATGGTATAATATTGGTACTGGATCCTAACAAATAAATGCTCGTTGGAAGCGTAGTGTAATAGCAACGGTATGAAAAAGTGAAGTGTCTAATTTTCGCGGCAATCTTCCCCTTTATCAAGACACATCTATTACATCACATACATGTAGAACAAAAAAAAAAAAAAACAGATACAAAGTAATAAACTAAAATCGAGAACGGTAGTGTAAAATTAGGTGTCTCGATAATCCCATCTGCCGATGGACGCCGAAGGCCCTTCATAAGGGACTTAAAAAGCATCTTAATTTGTGGTATAAAAGATGCTGATTCAAATATCAAAAATGCTTTATATAAATCTCGGTACGTTGTGCACTGTAGAGCCACAGGATGTATAATCGGTGTGCAAAAAAATGTGTCACACTCAGAGGAAAGGAGTTTACCGGTACATCTCGGCCCACTCTAAAAAAGGAATTGTTTAATTAAAATAAGGAAAACTCCTTGTGAAAATCAATGTATGTATATTTACACTAATAATACCAAGTCCGTCCAAACATGTGTACACTGGCAAATCCTACTGTCGTCCAGTAAACTTCAGAGCATTTTCCCGGAACCACCAATACTAGCTTTTCGTAGACCGAAAAACATCAAAGACCTGGTGGTGAGCGGTAAGCTACCAACAACTTCCCACACTCATGCAATTGACTGTTTCAAAACATGTAACAGTAAGAGGTGCAGGTTTTGTCCGTATGCTCACAGCACCAAATTCGAATGTAAGGTCAACAGTCAGAACTACCACATCATCCAGTCGGTATCCTGCACATCGGCCAATGCAATATACTTGATTACGTGTGCCAAGTGTCATTTGCAGCATGTCGTGGAGACCATAACACCACTCTCAGGATCAACAGGATAAAGTGAAACGTCACTTTCAAAACAAAATGCAAGAGAATCATGATAGTTATTATGTATATTATTGAGGGAAATACATTTGTAAATCCATGTTAAGGACCCCAATGGAAATAAGCGCTTAAACGCTCTTTTTTGGAGATCCTAGGATATATGTACTTTTGTCTTTATTAATATATGTGCTATATACGTCTCTGATAATTATAACTAGCTGATACATTGAAGATAGTAACTTATTCCTGATTATGTATAACATGTTCTATGTGCCATATATTCATATGTTTTGTATACAAATCTGTACATGTTTATCCCGAATAAATTTATTATTATTATTATATCAATCGCCGATGTTCCAGAAACGTCCGGACCTTCCTGTAACAAGACATTTCAACATGCCAAGCCATACGTGGCATGACATGCAGGTGGTACCCATTGACCACAACATGAGTTGGGGAAACCAGCACTGTCATTTTCTAATTTCCTTTCCAAATTTAGTGTACTTCTCATTCAGTTCTAAGTCTGCTTTTGTTCCTAGTTTAAAATTTCTGCTTACTAACAGGGACGTATAATACTGTATTATACGTCCCTGTCGTTTTCAGGACGAGTTGACGAATCTGGGGCCTACTCGACCATATTCAAAATAATATATGTGTGTGTGTGTGTGTGTGTGTGTGTGTGTGTATTGTGTATTTAACTTTTTTATTGTAACTATACATACATTCATTAACTTTGAGCAAATGTGCGTAATGTCCTGGATAGAAGGATGTGATAACTGACCTAGAACGTTGTCCTGCGTATACCGTCACAGACGTGGTTCGACCCTCCTTGTATACCCGTGGCAACATTTTATAGTTGATATCGGTAGACCTCATTGTAAGCTTATTATTACTTCTATTAACCTGTCTTGTGTTGTTATTTAGGGTATAATGGCGTAATACTTGACACTGAATGATAAAACCCATGGGCAAATATTCAAACTAACAAAAAATATTCGTGTATATAGTCCAGTATGGATACATTCCTGAGAATAGCGGTATCCCCCTTTTTGCTTTGATCGCGATCTCCTGGATGCTTCTAAATTGTTTACCTGACAGCGAAAACATAAGTTTTAACTTAGCGGTTTTTATGTGAGCCTTTTTTCACTTCTCATTTCGGATCTAGTTATATTTTCTAACAAATTCTTATGGGATCGCGATTTGTCAAATGAGCAAACTATATGGACAGTTTAGATGCATGTTTTATCCGGTTTCGTTTTGCCTGGTCAAAGTGTTGGATTTCTGTCTTGTTGTGCAACAGACATCTACAATGTAGGTGTTTGATTACAGAAAGACGAGGCTAGTACCTTCTGTATTTTTGCCAGTGTTAGTGGTTCTTTGCTGTTTCCACAAGATTGTGTAAGTAACAGTTGTATTTCTGAAGTGAGGACTGAAGCATTGGTATATCTTTCTGTCTGGCGAAAACGCATTGTCAATTAAAGGTGACATATTTACTTTACTTAGCGAAATGAGGAAAATGATAACTTTTAGGGCGTTCCCCCCGCAAAAAGGACATTGTTTCCCTTTTATTACCATACACAGGTCACATCTTCGTCGTCTCAGCGAAATTCCATATTGCAGTCCTTTTCATGGTTTACACTTACTAGTTGGTTGGTTTATAAAATACATTGCCGCTATCTTCGTTTGACGTAACCAAATGAAAAAAGTGCTTTTACATGTTTAAAATTAATGTTTACTCTTGATATTAGTTGGATGTAGCTTTAGATAGAACAAGGGCTAAGGAAAATATATATTGTTAGTTTTAACCCACATAGAGATATGTAAGCTCTCTTTTTTTACTAGTTCCAGGCAATAACTTGTCCTGGAGTTTCCAGGGGTTATAGCAATGCTCGTGAGTGTAACAATAAGTATTATTCCTGAGTCCTCACATGGACGCCAATATAACAGAGGTCATTATTTATTTCAATGTCTCCACTAGGATTCCAACGGAATCAGGGACCTCTAACTTAACAGATTAAGCTAAAGAAGACTCTTTAAAGGCATTATTTGTCCAATTTCCATGAAAATCTTTTTGGTTTGATTAAAATAGCTTGAAATGAAAAAAAAAATTTTTTCGCAATATGTTGTGGCCAGTATTTCACCAGAGTTACATATATCTGTAATTTATAAAAGAAACAAGGATCAGTTATAAGCAACTACATATAATACAGTTTTTTTTTTAAAGTTAATAACTGGGCCCAATTTCAAATTGAAATTGTTTCAAATTTAAGCTAACTTCCTAAAACTTGCAGTTTGCTCCTGCAAATTTTCCTTCCCAGTTGCACCAATTTTCTTCCAGAAATGATGGAAAAAAATTGAGTAAAAAAGCATTGAAACAAGTAATTCTTGTATTGAATACATAAAACTTTGCAGGTAAAACTCGTTAAAACAGATTTCAACATCTGTTTTAAAGAGTTTTACCTGTAATTCTAGACAAAAAGTTGGATAGTATGTGGTGGCCTCCCATATGTTGTTCATTGAGGTAGCCTCTCCAATGAGGCTCTACCTCACAATGATTCTGGCTGTTCACAGGCCAATAAAACCAAACAAAGAGTCCCTCTCTACAATGAAAGACGTGTGATACACTGACAGTATTTATCTCAGTAGTACAAATGACTACATATGATGCTATATTTACGCTATGCATGTTAAATATCAGTAAATTCAATCATTTTTCAAGCAATGTTAAAAAATCCAGATAGATTGTCAGAACCTCGAACTTTTAGACTATATCATAGACATCAGCCATCCATAGTCATGTTCACCATTTGTATGTAGTAATTGTCACAAACACATTTAGTTCTATAAACAAAACAAAGAATGAATTCCATATTTCACAATGAAAAATTTGATGATGATGATGATTACTTTTTTCTTACAGGAAAAATTAGTAAAAGTATAAATATGGAAGAAAAAGAAGATTTAAAAGATTTACAATTTCTAATTTCCAACAAGCAACAAAAGTCTTATACCCGTATGGTATCACAGGAATTCAGTTGTGCTGAGTCACATGTGCCTGTTCAGGGATCAAGGAGACAAAGACGATCCAAGAAATCCTCCTCTTCTTCTATAAATGCAGAAATTGAAGAATATGCATCAAGTACAGTTTTATCACCAGATCATGACGCTGTTGATATTTTGGCATGTGTTTTTGGAGATGAAAATGAAGATTCTGAAGGCAGTGAATATTTTTCTGCAGAAGAAGGACATGATGATTGTGTTCCAGATGGAAGTATTTCAACAGATGACTATGATGAATCTGATGAGAAAGATAAATGTGAGACTGTTGATCCCATAAAGGAGGAAAAAAAAGCCAGAACATCAACATTAAGTTCAGAACACACAAAAGCACCCAATAAAAGACAGAAAAAGAAAAGAAGAGAATTAGCAAAGACTGAAGGTCCGTTATTTCCATTTGGTAATACTGACTTCATAGATACATGTGTAGACTTCTCAGAATTGAAAGAGGGGATAGCTCTGACTGCAGAAAGGTCTGTATTCAACGAGGTGCCCTCATTAGTTGAACTTTGTCTTTTTGCATCCAGGAAGTTATCAAGAGAAAACAGGGCACAAACATTGATTCCTGGAAGAATCAAATCAATCCTTAAACTTTCCAACAATCGCATCAGACTCCAGAAGTTTCAATTGTCCTGGTTATTTAAGTTACTTCCATTAGTGGAATGTGATGTGTCAATAGGTACAATGGACTGCCCAAAAGGTGAACTTCAATTTGCATATCGTAATATCTGGTGCTCAGATATGTACTCAAAAAATGTGTTGCTAGATTACAATGCTTCCCATTGTTACTATTCCACATCAGCAACCTGCTATCTGCCACATACATTTGTTTGGAACACTGTATTCCACAGCCAAATGGAACACCTTTTGAAAACATTCCAGTTATCAGGTAAGTGCAAAATAAAA